AATATAGTGTACTTGGACTTTCAGAAAGCCTTTGACAAGGTGCTCACCAAAGGCACTTTACTTAAGCAAAGTAAGCAATCTTGGGATAAGAGAAAAGTTCCTCTTATGGATCAGTAACTGGTAAAAGATAATAAATGGTCAGTTTTCACAGTGGTGAGAGGTAAATAGCGGGGTCCCCCAAGGATCTGTACTGGGACCATTGTTATTCAACATAGTCAATATGATCTGGAAAAAAGGGGTAAATAGTGAGGTTGTAAAGTTTGGTGGTGATTCAGAATTATTCAAGATAGTTAAAACCAGAGTTGACTGCAAAAAGTTACAAAAGGATCTCTCAAAACTGGATGACTGGTCAAGAAAAAGACAGATGAAATTCAGTGTTGATAAATACAAGATAATGCACATTGGAAAACATAATCCCAACTATACATGCATAATAAGACAGAAAATATCATAATGCTACTATAGAAATCCATGGTACGGCCACACCTTGAATACTATGTGCAGTTCTGGTCTTCCCATCTCAAACAAGATCTATTAGAAGTGGAAAAAGTACAAAGAAGGACCACAAAAATTATTAAGGGTTTGGAATAGCTTCCCTAGAACAGGTGTTATAGTTATTGTCACTACTCCCCTTCATAGGAGAAAACGATTCTTTCTAACCAATAGGCTATTCAATAACTTAGGCCCCTACAAACTTACATCAGTATAACTACGTCGCTCAGGGGTGTGCATTTTTCACACCCCGGAGCAATGCAGTTACATTGACCTAACCCCGATGTAGACAGTGCTGTGTGGATGGGAGGGCATCTCCCGTCGCCATAGCTACTGCCTCTCGTGGAGATGGATTAACTATGCTGATGGGAGAAGCTCTTCTGTTGGTGTAGTAGCATCTTAACTGAAGTGCCACAGCAGCGTAACTGCAGCTTTTTAAGTGTAGACCTGCCTTTAGACTTTAATCAAAATGTTTTTGTAGCCTTGCCCACAACTGGAATTCTGATATCCTATTTCTCTCCCTCCCTCTTGTTTGGTTCTTTAACATCTTAAAAGGTCTCTCTTAAAAACATGTTTTTCTTAAATTTTTCCTGAAGAAGGTGACCTCTCCACAAGTGAATTTGGGCTGCAAATAACTTAAAACATGGAATCACATGCATAAATAACTGTCTTCAACAAAGGCTGTAACATGAAGGCCCAGTTTCTCAGCTGGGCCACACCAACAAACATTTTGTGTTTTTTGTTGTGTGCATGTGGCATTATCTGTTTGCTCTGCCTGCTCTAATCTTATGAGCTTGCAGGTTACAAAGCAAAATAGGACCAGCAAACAGAGTGGAGGAGCCGTGCCTTATGCATACACACAGATACTGCGGTGATGTGTGTTTTTAAATGCCATGAAAGCCATGAATGCACCTGCAAATCAAAACAGAGGTTTCAAGTCTAATGTTTAGCCTTCCAGCATGGATTGTATCTGTTTAAATTGTGAACGTCAGCCCCTTTAACACTGAAAATCACTAACTAGCTAAAATGAGATTGGAATGAATATAGAGGGAATGTGTTTTTGTTTGTTGCCGTTGTGTCTAGTGGACAGACTCTGCAGAACAACAAGATGGGTAATTTCTAAAGGTTTTTTGTGGTTACTAGAATTATGTAATACTACAACGCTTCTAATAACTTTGTGGGTGCATTATATGGCACCAACAAAATGTGTGTGAGGGATTCTTTTTTGACAGTATTCAACAGAATTTATATTGTGGTAATTTAGGGGACTATCAAAAGGGAGCATATATGTCCCACATATTTATCAGGTACATTAATTTTAGGCTGGAAACAGTTTTTCTAGACTTGTAGTGCGACAGAGCCTTTATCTCTGTAGACTTTAGAACCAACTGGACTGCAGCCTCTTAGGCTGCTGTCATGTTGACTCCTGTTAAAATAAATGTGACAACCCTCTGCAAGAATTATGTGGATAAAAGCATACTTGGAAAAATGGCCTGAGAAGAAGAGGGGGTCATGGTACATATTTGTTCTTTCATAACACACTAGGAGAAGTACAGTATGGGTTTTTAGGAAGTGGGGAAGCATGTGCATACTTCTGCTCCTTCCTCCTCCCCCTTCCTATATCACATCCCTTTCACTCTCCTACAGCACTCCTATGACAGCAGACCCCATGATCGTATCTTGAATTTCCAAGGATATTAGCGTATGAAACAAATGGGTAGCTAACCCTCAGAGTAATATAAAGCCACAGAAAACATTGAAGAAAACTTGGGAAATAATACCATTAAAAGTAAAAATTTAGGTTGCTGGGATATGATAACTTCCAACTTCACAAAGAACATAATGCTGGATACTCAGTTGAAGAAGTAACACAAACAGTTGTAGTTTCAGTTCACTTTTACATGGTGAAAAAGTAATTTAAGGCACTGACTTGTTGCCTAAGCGTCGAAGGGCCTGATCCTGCAAACACACATGAAAGTAGTCCTCTGTCTTCAGTGGGATTATTCCTATGTAGTGTATTACACATGCATAAATGTTTGCCCTTAGTTCTGAAATCTAGCTTTGTGAGCTTTTTTTCAAATGTGGTAAAACCAGCATCATCACCAAGGAAATTATTATTATTATTATTATTATTATTATTTTGTTACAGCAGGATTAGTGTAGTATTAATTTCTCTCTCCCTCCCCCCCTTTAAATATCTTTCCTTGCTATCTGTATAAATTCTGTTGAGTTGAATTGAGAAAGCTAGTAAGAAATACAGCACTGTATGTGTGTCTTGTTGGCTTGAAACCTGCCCTATCTGTACCCTGTGCAATCTCGGTGAGTTAAACAGATGTTTGTATGAGATGTAAACTAGGGTAGAATTTATCCACTAGTCTTTAGCTGTCTGTGTAACTGAAAATGTTCCTGATATTAGAGTTATAAAGCAGAAGTTCCTCAGTGAAGTATGAGTGAAAGCAAGAATCTGTTAAACATCACTGCTGCATGACTAAAACATTTAGAACTGCTGCAAGCAATCAGAGTGTCATGTTGTACTGGTTCTAGGAAGAACTTGATGCCAATTTTGGTGTTAGGTTTTCCTTGTATTGATGTTCCCCTGCCTGTTATACCAAACACCTGTTCACCAGAACACAGTTCTTTGCCTATATTTAACCCACAAGGATGGGGGCCAGATCCTGAGCCACATCAGAAATGAGCTCAGTGCAGATCAGAAGTAGGGGGATGCAAAGGTGCTTTAAGCTGCCTTTATGCTGCTACCTGTCCTGGAGTTGGACCAGCCGTAGACTGCTCCAGTTAGTTCTGCCCAGCTGCCTGTGAACCCAGTGGAATGTTCTGATAGCTAGAACACAGCAGTTTCCATCCACATGCCTTTTTTCCTAGGCACATCACTTGTGCTAAGAGGATCAGAAGGGTGGTAAGAAAATAAGAATGGCCATACTGAGTCAGACCAATGGTCCATCTGACCCAGTATCTTGTCTTCTGACACTGGCCAGTGCCAGATGCTTCAGAGGTAATCAACAGAACAGTGCAGTTATTATAGCTCTACCCCACCCAGGGATTCCCCTTTTGCAGATTGAATCCTTAGGGAGAGACCAGTTAAGCTACCTGTAAAGCAGCCAGAGCATAAGGGAAAAATTGGGGTCTATGAGTTGGAAGGTTTGGATTCTCCTCCTGGCTCTGCTGAGTTCCTCTATGATAACAGGCAAGTTGCTTAACCACTTTGCCCATCTGTAGCATACAGGTAACTGCCAACCTCACAGGGTATTGTAACTTTCTAATTTGCTGTTTGCAAAGTTCCTTGAGCTGTTCAGATGTTACATGGCAACAAAAATAATAAGCTATATTGTGAGGGAACTAGGGTGAATAATACTTAATTCAATTCAGAAGTTATTTCATTGTCAATTTTTATTTCTAAAAGTTTTAGAGAAGACATAACTTCTGTATTTTCTTGACGGGATTTTTTCCCCCACGTATTTCTTCTTGCCCAAAGCCTCATCGCTATAGTCTGGGATGTAGAGCAGAAAGTGTTTCTCACAACCATTAGCTGTCATCCTGAATTTGAACCTCACTCATGTTGCAACAGATGGAAGCATCTTGTTTTAATTCAGTGTATTTATTACTCTTTTGTGTAAAAGCATTTCATTTTTACCTGACCACTCATTTTGCTCCCGTCTTCCTGTTTTGATTATGTTTATAAGCTTCTGGATGAGAGAGGATATGAGGCTACGTCTTCACTATGGGGGGAGGGGCAGGGGGGTCGATTTAAGATACGCAAATTCAGCTACGCGAATAGCGTAACTGAATTCGATGTATCCGAGCCGACTTACCCTGCTGTGAGGACGGCGGCAAATCGACCTCCGCGGCTCCCCCATCGATGGCCCTTACTCCTACCTGCGCTGGTGGAGTACAAGCGTCGATTCGGGGATCGATTGTCGCGTCCCGATGAGACGCGATAATTCGATCCCCGAGAGATCGATTTCTACCCGCCGATTCAGGCGGGTAGTGAAGACGTAGCCTGAGAGGCCGGGATGGCACATGGCACTAAAATGCTTAATGAGCTACTGAGTATGGATATATCAGAGCAAAATAATGTGCTAGTAGAGCTAGAATTCTATAGCAAGCTTGGCTCTTTTGTAAACCCTTGAATCTGGGATCTGCTGCTAGACTAGTTACAATTTTCAAAAGCACCCGAGGGGTGTGACTACCCAGTAATCAGGAGGAGTAATTACAGCGTGTGTAGGCATACCTGAGCTAACTGTATCGAGCTAGCTCGATAGAAAGAGCAGTGCAACTGCAGCAGTCTGAGCTAGCTGCCCAGGTGTCTATCCAGCGTCCTAGATAGGATTGTACTGAGTGGCTGGTCCAGTGGTGCTGGAACAGTTTGTATAGTGGGGGTGTTGAGAGCTATTAAACCAAACTGTAAACCCTGTATATAATGGAAACTTTAAGCCGGGGGTGCTGCTGCACCCCAGCACCCCTAGTTCCAGCATCTATGGGCTAGTCCATGCTGCTATGGTTACACTGCTATTTTTTTAGGCTATGTCTATACTTACCAGGGATCAATGCTGCGGTGATCAATGCAGCAGGGTTCGATTTAGCAGGTCTAGTGAAGATCTGCTAAATGGACTGCAGAGTGCTCTCTGGTACTCCACCGGAATGAGAGGAGTAAGGTAAGTTGACCGGAAAACGTCTTCCATCAACACAGAGCAGTGTAGACATCGCAGTAAGTCGACCTGGGCTACATCGACTCCAGTTACGTTATTCACATAGCTGGAGTAGCGTAACTTAGGTCGACTTACCCTGGTAGTGTAGACGAGGCCTTAGTGAGCTAACTCAACCAAAACTTGCTTGGGTATGCCTACACTTGCTGCAATCCCACCTTCTAGTCCTAGTGTAGATACACCCTAAGTGACTTTTTCAAAAGTGGCTTGAGCGTTTAGGCTTCTAGTCCTGTTGACTTTCAAAAAACTCTTAGGATCCTAACTGCCCAGGTCACTTTTGTAAATGGGCACATACGCACTTTTTAATACTTTACCTTAGTTTTACCTAGGTAGGTGCAGTGTAGATGGGCAGAGATAGCCTTTTGTTCTTTGAAGAGAGATCTGTGGATCAGGTGCTACCTTATCTGTGTTAATTAACTACATCTTAGATTACATCCCCAAAATCTTGAATTGACAGATGGAAAGAATCAATATTTTTCACAAACCCAGATTTCAAAGTGTTTAATTTTGAGTCCACCTTTCATTTTCGAACATCCAGTCTCTCAAAGTTTAATGGAATGCTTCAAATATCATATGGATAATTCACACCAATTTAGAGAAATCTGCATTCCTGAGAGTTTGAATAAATACGTTTACATAGAAATCAGTGTTTTTCAGGTGACTTTACTGTAATTGGTCCTTTTCTAGATTGTAGCTGTGAGTTGTAGGACTCAAAGTGTAGGGTCATACATAGCAGTTTGTGATATCTTCTTCTCTTTGAGGTTTCAGGTAAATACAGAATAAGCTCAAATGGTGGATCATACTTCTGCAAGTTTATTTGATAACCAGAAAGGTATCACTTTAATTTTCTCCCCCTTCTCCTCCCCCCCCAAAAGGGAAAAAAAAAAGTGTGCACAGCTGTGTTACACACAGAGTTGGGATTAATGTGAATAAGAAGACCTAATCATACAGTTATGTAGCATGCTGCGTCCAGGCTGATTAGATTACACTATGATCTTGGTAAAGCAAATACACTGCCTATCCGTCATAGGATCTGAAAATAGTGCTTCAGTCTCCTGCTAGCTTGTACTTGGATTGATTTATTTATTGAACTGGTGTGCATAAAATAATGTGAACTCTATAAAATGGATTTCAGATTAGAAACTTTTATTGTAATTCTAATTTGGTTGTACTTTCCATATAAGGTATAACTTTGCAGTATTTGATTTGAACTATTTAGGTTGTGTAAAATGTGCATAAAGATAGATATTTGAAATGTAACTAAACAAAAATTGTAGTTAAGATTCATGATCTACAGGAAGAGTGCAAATTTTGTTTTAGAGAGCTGTTTGTTTCCATAAGAATACAAGTTAAACACTTGCTTTGAAATCCCATGTCCAGGGAAAGTGTTTGTTATTGAGCACAAACTGATTTTAAAGCAGAAAAGCAATTTTCTTCTCCCCTCCCCCCCAAGCTTTGTCGGACGTCCACATTGGATTTGGACCTTCCCCTTGCATTTCAACATTCTTTGTAATCTTGATAAAATCGTGAAAAGACTTGTGATGTTCATGAGATGATCTGTTTCTGGACTCTGAAGTCTAACTAGAAAACCTGTGGCTGCAGCTTTCTGTAGTGCAGTAAAAAATCAACTGCGTTTTATTCTCGGTAGCTTTATTTTTTCCCCCTGAAATGATTTTGCATTGTTTGAAGCTGAAAAATTGAAATAGAGAGCTGGTAGTAGTATTGTTTAAAAGAATGCAATGAACTTGAAAATCATATTTACTTCTGAAATTTTTGTTCCATACATGGTATCAAGACCGACCTCTGATTACTATAATAAAGTTAGTAAAACATATTTTTCTTTTTTCCCTAGTTTGTTTTATTTGATAGGCTTTTATGGATAGTAAGATTTGCTTTTTCCTGTAAAAGTCAATCAGTTCCTTCCTGGTTAAGAAGACCCTCAAACATCAACAGGAGAGTGGTGTGTGTGTGTGTGTGTGTGTGTAAGAAAAATATATATTTTTTAAAAAGGACTGTTTTAAAGGGTGCTCTATCAGAAACTTAAAAAAAAAATCTAAAGAAAAAGTTGATTTTAAAATTCAAATTGTGTCCCTTTAGAAAGTTCTTTTGTTTGCATGCTTTTATTGGTTCATTCAGGGGGAAGCACTGTGCAGTTGTTGTATGTAAGCAGAGTTCAGCGTTTATATGATAGAAAAAACACTTGGAAAGCAGCACCATTTGAATAATTTAAGTAGCTTTCATCCTTTCTTTAATATTAAACTTTGTACTCAATCTTCACCAGGTTAATGTACAAGTTTTGGCTAACGTTGCATAGTTTTTATAGCACTTGCTGATTAATTTTTGAAAGATCTATTTTTGGAGTTTGTTCAGTTAAATTTCAACCTATGCCATTGCTGTAGCACCTCAAAAATAGACATGCTAAAGCATAGTAATGAGGCTACCTCAGAAAGATTGTTGATATGCTTTTACGTCAAACTAGGAAATTGTTTTAATCTGCGCTAAATACTTAATATTTTTCTCTCTTGAAGAAAATAATCAAAATACAGGTGTGAAATGTGCACAAATTGCTTATTCTGCATCACTGGTGCACCTTTGTTTTACTGCCCTGGAATCAGCAGCAGATATGTGAGATCAGAAATCTAGACAACATTGTTACTTGTGAAACTAGAAAGGGCCTTCCGTCCTACCCAAATTAAAAATAGATTGGGGCCTAATCTAAATCCCACGTAAGTGTATGAGAGTCTTTCCATAGAAACTAATGGAAGTTCAGTCAGGCCCCTCATGTATGATATTAATTATGAAAATACAAAACTAACTGAAGAGGGAGACTTCAGATGTATATTCCAGTGAATCATCATTGGAGTTTGTGTATGAACCTGGCTCAGATCTTTTTTTAAAATATAATAATATATTCAAAGGATTCTTCTTAGTTTTGACTTCTCAGTACTTTGTTTTTATAATATTTAAACTGTGGCTAAACTGGCCGATCTGGGGAGTGGGTGGTATTTATTATTTTCATTTATTTACTACTTGTGTTCAGTTGGAAACTTGGTTCATTACAGTTAGTGAACATTATGGAACTGGTAAGCAGAAGTACAGAGTGAAAAGAGGAATTGGCTGCTGTGATCAGTCATTCAAGGACAGAAAAGGGAATTTAATTTGCACAAACCGAGAAACAAGATAAATACCCTTCATTTCCCATGTACTTACATGGCTTCATTGTATGGGTGCATTTCTTGTATTCTCTAAAAATAACCATATTTCACAAGTCTGACCTTTTATTAGGATTTTCAGAAGTGCTTGGTCTAACTTTTGCCAGTGACTTAAATGGGACCAAGGTGAGGCCTAAATTAAATGCTTTTAAAAATCCCTACTCATAGGTTTTTTATCAGGATGAAAAAATTAGTCTCTGGGCCGTTTCTTTCTTTGTTAATCACATGGTCTTCAATATTTTGAAACTTGCAGGCTAGACTGTGCTATGCCGTTGCCCTACAGCTTCCTCTGATGACAGGATGCGGACTCATAGGACACTCCTAATTGTATTATTATTGTTGGCAAAATACAGAATTTTAAGGTCATCTTACAGAATTAGAACCTTTTATGCAGCAATGGGGGAATGCACATTTTAAGTGCTCATCTTTTGTAGTTGGAGGAATTTTGATTTTTTTTGGGGGGATTGTTTTTCCTGTAATAATTGGAGAGGGTTTGGTACTTTGTTATATTTTCACCTGCAAATTCATGACTCCAGTTCAAACAGATAGCAATAATATGCTAAGACTTGTTTTACTCAGGAGCCAATTATTATGGAATAGAATCTGAGACACAATGCATTTGAGACTGTTCTAAATAATACATGTTTATGTATTCTAATCATAGCTTAGGTTTCAAAGCTTCTGTTAGTCATATGTATATATAGCATAATAAATGAACTAGAAGCGTAAAAACTTGGTCTTCCTGGCCCTCTAGTCTCTGGTGCATTTGAACACTTCTCCATTTTACAAGCCAATGTTAGAGAGCTTTGTTATAATTTTGTTCAGTGCTTAATTTGAGGGTCTTAAACGTGAATAGGTCTAATAGTGATAAACTGGTCTCAGTGAGAGTTGGTGCTGCTGTAATTAAAACATGTCATTCTCCTTTTGTGTGTGTGTTCAGGTCGTTTGGTGGGTGCCCTGGATGCAGTGCTAGATTCTAATGCACGTGTTGCTCCATTTCGAATTTTACTTCAAGTTCCAGGATCACCAGTTTACTCTGCCATAGCATGTGGTGAGTTATTGAATGGATCAGAAGTTTACTGGGCCATAGCTGCTGGTGAGTTACATACCAATTTAAAAAAATCCCCAAAGCTAAATTCTGAGCATGCTCAGTATCTGCATGTCCAAGACGCTGAAGGTAACCAAAATTAGTAACCTCATGTGTGTGTAAAGGCTACTGGCTGTGACTTGTTTAATAACCAAAATACCTATTGGTTATAATTCAAGGTATTAATAACATAAGGGAATGTTTTTTTCTGTTAAGCAAGAAAAAAAAATGTGGTCATTCCATTCACATATTTATCATTTCAGATAGTAGCCTGTGCAGGCCGCTTGCAGCAGGAGGCTTTTTGTTCTGGTCTTTCATCGACACGTGTATCGGCAGTTAATTTTTACCTGCCGTTTATTTAAAAAAAAAAGTCTCCCAGCTCTTCTGATCACAATAAAATCTCACGAAAGAGATGTTTTAAAAAATATGAAATGTTTTAAAATAATAAATGTTTTAAAATATCATAGTGCTAGGTGACCCTATGGTGAAGAATAGTGCACTCTGAAGACTTGAGTTTGCTAGTCTTTAAACTAATTCTTAATGTAGTGTTTCCCATGCTTTTCAAAGCTGAACACCCCTTAAGAAAAATAAACCAGTTGTAAATCATAGCAGCCCCGCTATGTGGTGTTTAAAGCCTACCAATGTTAATGTATGCATTTTTATACACTTCCTGTGCTCTCCTGGCTAGTCCTTCATTCTTCCTCCTGTTTTGGAAAATGCTGGTGTAGATCTTCATAACATATTTCCTCTCCTTTTTTTCACGGTGTTGAGCAGTGAAATAGTTAACAATGTTGACATTTAAAATATCACTGGTGGTGTTAGATTTAGTATTCATTGAAATTAATGGGGCAGTTCACACATTAGAGTTGTTGTTCATGGCTTACTGAAAACTCTGGTAGATGTCTCTTCCTCAGCTGCACACATTTCACATTTTGAAGGTGCATGCATGTGTGCTCTCCCTTTTACCCCCTTGAGGAAGTGCTCCATGCATTGGAAAACATTGCCCTATGGATGCCTGTCTGTACCTCAAAACCACTCTATGATTTTTAGTGTATTTTGAAGATACAAAACGGGAGCGAAGGGTAGTAGGTCAGGATTGATGTGCATTGTTACATTTGTGTTGGGAAGCTTGCAGAGAGTCTGTTCTCCATGTTATTTTTGGCTATGGTTAGGTGCTACCATTTCCTCATTTTCATAATTGCTGTTCACTTGGTACTCTTTTTTTATTTGGAAGGTAAGAACAAACCACTAAAGAGAGAATGTTTTGTGAACAGAATACTTCATGCTCTTAAATATTGCTCTTGTAATGAAGAAAATGAGTTTGGCATTTTAAAATGCAAATCAGTGTTCATCTCAAAGAATGCTTAGGTCCCTTGCTCAGTAGCATGTAGGTAATATTCCTCTCTGGGGTTGATCATTACTCTACTCTATGCAGATTTCTTCAGTCTGCTAGGGCAGCTGTTGTTTTTCACTTCAAGGAGAACCACTTGTTTGACTGGAATGGTTAAGATTTTTTTGTAGGTTATAGAAGTTTTAGAAAAGCCTTTAACAAATAACACTTTAAGACCTTGAATTTCCCCCCTTCCCCAAATGGATTTCCAAGATGTATTGTTGTAAGTAACAGTTAATTTTTCCAAGTCAGTAGAAGATAACTCTGGTTGTATAGATCAATATTGCATTAATCTATACTATGTGGATTCAGCAGCAGAGGGGGAGCTAACCAGTTTATTGCACTGAATGCAGCGTATATGATTGCCTGCCTTGTGGGCAGGTGGTGTATGTGTGCATTCAGTGCAAGCAGCTCATGGCTATCAGAGACAGAGTACGATCTCTTGACAGCAGAGTGGCTGAGCTGGAGGAGCTTAGGGAGACAGAGATGTACACAGACAAGACTTTCCGGGACACAGTAGAGCGGTCCCACTCCCAATCTGATGGCCTTTATGGTGTTGCGGAGGATGAAAGTCTCCAGGAAGGAGAACATCAAGCTGGAGGGGAGAGAAACAGTCACATAGTTGGGCCCCTCCTTGCCGATGATGCCATGGTATCCTCTCGCACTGAGGATCCCCCTCCGAGGGAGATGACTTATTAGGAACAGACAGGTAATAGTATTGGGGGATTTGATTATTAGAAATATAGGTGGTGGGTTAGTGATGCCTGGGAGAACGCCATGGTGAATTGCCTGCCGGGTGCAAAGGTTGTGGAACTCTCAAGACATCTAGATAGACTTATGTATAGTGCTGGGGAGGAGCCGCTGCTGCTGGTACATGTAGGTGACATAGGGATAGGAGAGAAGTCCTGGAGGCCAATTTAGGCTGCTACGTAAAGGATTTAAGTCCAGAACCTCCATGGTAGCATTTGCTGAAATGCTTCCAGTTCCATGTTCAGGACAATTAGACAAGCAGAACTGCAGGGTCTCAATGCATGGATGAGACGATGGTGTAAGGAGGAGGTTTTAGGTTTATTAGGAACTGGAGATCCTTTTGGGCTTCATCTAAACTAAAATGGAACGGGATTGCTGTCATATAAAATTAAAAAAGTTGTAGCGGAGTTTTTAAACTAAGAGCAGGGGAACAGTTGACAGGTGCAGAGGAGCACATACATCCCTTAGGGGAGGATCTATTAACAGGGATTCTCTCTGTCCTAGTAAAAAGGAGCAGATTGAAGTTGATAAAGTACAAGTAGGAGCTGAAGAAAAACAGTCAAACGAAAAAGAGTCCCGTTCAATTATATCACATGAAGGCAGACAGCTAAATATTGACATTTTATAAGTACTTGTATACAAATGATAGAAGTCTAAATACTCAGATGAGTGAACTTGAGTGCCTGATATTAAATGAGGATATTGATATAATAGGCATCACAGAAACCTGGTGGAATGATGATGATCAACGGGACACAGTAGTACTAGGATACAAAATACATAGGAATGATGGAGTAGGTCACGCTGGTGGGAGAGTGGCACTATATGTGAAAGAAAGCAGAGTCAAATAAGATGAAAATCTGAAATGAATCAAACTGTACCAAAGAATCTCTATGGATGGAAATTCCATGCTTGAACAAGAAGAATATAGCAGTAGGAATATGGTACCGACCACCAAACCAGGGGGGTGATGATGATTGTGAAATGTTCAGGGAGATTAGAGAGGCTACAAACAAAGAAAACCCAATAATAATGGGAGATTTCAACTAATCCCGTATTGACTGGGTACATGTCATCTTAGGATGGAATCCAGAGATAAAATTTCTAGACACCATTAATGACTGGTTCATGGAGAAGCTAGTCCTGGAACCCACAAGAGGAGAGGCAATTCTTGATTTAGTCCTAAGTGAAGCACAGGATCTGGTCCAAGAGGTGAATATAGCTGAACTGCTTGGTAATAGTGACCATAATGTAATTAAATTTAACATCTTTGAGTGAGGGAAAATACCACAGTAGCATTTAACTTTGAAAAGGGGAAGTACACAAAAACGAGGAAGCTAGTTAGATGGAAATTAAAAGGAATAGTGACAAGAGTGAAATGCTGGCAAGCTGCATGGACACTTTTAAAAACACCATAATAGTGGCTCAAATTAAATGTATACCCCAAATAAAAAAATAATTGGAGGACCAGAAAAATGCCACTATTGCTCAATAGAATAAAAGAGGTGGTTAGAGGCAAAAAGACATCCTTTAAAAATTGGAAGTCAGGTCCTAGTGAGGAAAATAGAAAGGAGCATAAATTCTGGTAAGTCTAGTGCAAAAAATAGAATGAGGCAGGCCAAAAAAGTACTTGAAGAGCAAACTAGCGAAAGAGACAAAAACTAACACCAAATTTTTTTCTGACAACATCAGAAGCAGGAAGTCTGCCAATCAGTCAGTGGGACTAAAGGAGTAATTAAGGAAGACAAGGCTGTTGCAGAGAAGCTAAATTAATTCTTTGCATTGGTTTTTACTATTATTATCAGACACACAGTTGAACACGGTTTGTTGGGGAAGAGTCAACATGGCTTTTGTAAAGGGAAACCATGCCTCACCAATCTGTTACAATTCTTTGAGGGGGTCAGCAAACGTTGACAAGGGTAATTCAATTGATATAGTGTATTTGGACCCAGAAAGCTTTTGACAAGGTTCTCACCAAAGGCTCTTAAGCAAAGTAAGGAGTTTTGGGATCTGAGGGAAGGTGCTCTCATGGATCAGTAACTGGTTAAAAGACAGGAAACAAAGGGTAGGAATAAATGGTCAGTGTTCAGAATGGAGAGAGGTAAATAGTGGGGTCCTCCAAGGATCTGAACTGAGACCAGTGCTGTTCAGCATATTCATAAATGATCTAGAAAAAGGGGTTAACGGTGAGGTGGCAAAGTTTGCAGCTGATACAAAATTTCTCATGATAGTTGCATCCAAAGCTGACTGGGAAGAGTTACAAAAGGGATCTCACAAAACTGGATGACTGGTCAAGAAAATGGCAGATGGGGAAATTTAATGTTGATAAATGCTAAGTAATGCACATTGGGAAACATAATCCTAACTATACTTATTAAATGATGGGCTTTAAATTAGCTGTTACCACTCAAGAAAGAGATCTGAGAGTCATTGTGGATAATTCTCTGAAAACATCTGCTCAATGTGGAGTAGCAGTCAAAAAAGCGAACAGAATGTTAGGAACCATTAGTAAAGGGATAGATAATAAGTCAGGAAATATCATAATGCCACTTTAGAAATCTATAGTATGCCCACACCTTGAATACTGTGTGACGTTCTGGTTGTCCCATCTGAAAAAAGATACATTAGAATTGGAAAAGCTACAGAGAAGGGCAACAAAAATGGTTAGGGATATGGAACAGCTTCCATATGAGAAGAGAAAAATGCTGGGACCATTCAGCTTGGAAAAGAGGTGACTAAGGGGGGATTCAATAGAGGTCTATAAAATCATGAATGGTGTGGAGAAAATGAATAAGTAAGTGTTACTTACCCTTTCACATAACAAGAACCAGGGGTCACCCAATGAAATTAATAGGCAGCAGGTTTAAAACAAAAAGAAGTTCTTCTTTACACAGCTCACAGTCATCCTATGGCTCTCATTGCTAGGGAATATTGTGAAGGCCAAAAATATAACTGGGTTGAAAATATAATGAGATAAGTTCATGCAGGATAGGTTGATCAATGTGTATTAGCCAAAATGGCTAAGCCTTTGACTGCTTGATGCTGGGACTGGACGACACGGGATGGATCACTTGATAATTGGCCTGTTCTGTTCATTCCCTGTGAAGCGTCTGGTATTGGCCACTGTCGGAAGACAGGATACTGGACTAGATTGTAACATAGTATGGCTGTTCTTATATTTCTTATGTGTCTTTTGTAGTCAAAGCATGTTTGCAGTTTTATGAGCAAAAAATCCATAAAGACATTAAGAACAATAGAAATGTAACCTGCTTCTGACTAATAATCCTCTTGTTATGAAATGCTGCCTTCAGCAGCTGGGGAAGAAGCAGGCTTCCTGCTAGGGCTGGCAATACTAGTCAGTAACACAGCAGAACCCGACTCTCTTTAGTACAGTGTTGAAGTTTTCCAAGCTGCCTCTTCCATTGTGGCTCTTTGCTTATCCTCGTTCCCCAAAACTGATACCTGCATTTATTTAGGGAAGGGCCTGTGGAAAAGGTGCTGAGACTCTGCCCCCGTAAGTTCCCACAAAGCTGGAGCCTTGGAGCAGAAAAGCAATGTTAGGGTTCTACTGTAGCAACTGGGGGAATCTGCTTATTAATTTCTCCCTGTACTAGTGAGGTGCTGGAGAGGCTCTCAAGATTCCCCTCAACAATCCAAAGATTGTTCTGGGTTGAAGGGGGTTACAGGCAGTTTCTACTGCAGTAAAAATTGGAAATGCAGCCAAGGAGCAGCTCCTGTGCCTCCTAGCATGAGAGTACGTAATGTTGTGTTGCCCCCACATTGCTGGATAGTTAACATACTGTTGAAAAATGGAATATGAATTATTAACAGTCCGCTTAGATAGGGTCTGTGGGCTTAAATGCTAGCTTTCACACAAAGACCTGTTCTCTGCCTTTTCAGAGCATTTACAAGCAAAATAAGATGTACAAATTCAAGGCAAGGTGGATGAGGGTAATATCTTTTATTGGAGCAACTTCCGTTGGTGAGAGACAAGTTTGCAAGGTACACAGAGCTCTTCTTCAGGTCTGGAAAAGGTAATCATAGTGTCACTGCTAATTACAAGGTGGGGCAGATTGTCCTGTGACCGCAGAGGTGTCAGTTGCCCCTTCATTTTAACTGGTCTCCTGTAACCTCTTGTGCTTAACAGTCTGTCTCACCTTGTATTTAGCTGTGACACTCTACTTACTTTTTCAGACCTGAAGAAAAGCTCTGTGTAGCTTAAAAGCTTGTCTCTCTCACCAACAGAAGTTGCTCAAATAAAAATAAATTACCTTACCCACCTTGTCTCTCTGATATCCTGGGACCAACCCGGCTACAGCAGTGCTGCAAAAAATACCAGGCAAGACACGTGAAGACAGTTCAGAACAGAGTGGGTGTGGGGATTATTGAAGAAGTGGGTTCGGAGGAGAGAAGAAGGAGTGAGAGGGTGCTTAGCAGCTGGGGACAAGAGACTCTAGGCATAGGGCAGTATTTAAAAAAAAAAAGCCATGCAGCAGAATGAGAGGAGTAGATGAAGGGAGGAGTAAGGCAAAAGGATTGGGAAGAGCATAGGAGGCATGAGAAGGAATGAGAGTAGCCAGGGAAGGGGTGAGTAAGGCCATGTCTACACTACCACTTATGTCGGCAAAACTTGTGTTGCTCAATGTTCTAAATAAAGAACCTGAGCTACCGAAGTTTCCCTGTCATAAGTGGTCGTGTTTACAGCACTGTGTCGGCAGAAGAGCTTCTCCTGCTGAAATAGCTACTACCGCTCGTTTGGGGTGGTTTAATTATGTCGACGGGAGAGCTCTCTCCCATCAGCATAGAGCAGCTACACAAGCGATCTTTCAGCGGCGCAGCTGCTTCAGTACAGCTGTGGTGCTGTGAGGTCTGTCGTGTAGATGAAGTCTTAGATCATGCTTGTGTTTGAAGACAAGGAGCTTGAATTTAGGGAGTAAGAGATGGGGAGCTCAGGGAGGAGAGGGAGTCATGAAGCGGTGAGGTGACATGGTCAGAGAGGAGGAAGATAACTTGGGTAGCATTTTGAACAGAATGAGTGGGTAGACCGTAAGGCAGAGAGAAGATTTACAGCAGTCCAGGTGAGAGATGACCAGTGCTTGGACAAGGTGTCTAGCAAAAAAGAAAATATGCCAACTACTATGGAATACTCCTCCTTACTGTAGTCTCTCATTCCAGACTGCACACACAAAGGCAGACCGCTGATTCATCTCCACTATGTTTACCCTTTATCTACATTGTCCAGGCTTAAATGTTCAATTTAATAAATTGTCATTTTATATTAAAACATCTCCTATGAAACAATAGGTCTTAATTAATATCCTACAGCGTGTGGTCCTCCTAATCGTTAGCAAAGGCCATCTAAATGGCTGTTTTCTTTCTCATGATTTCTTCTATATTTTTTGCCTTGATTGATGATATTTATGAAGTTCCATCGCAAAACCTTCCTGTTGAGGAAGTTAAATCTTGGAAAGTTTCCCTGCCAGTTGGCATTCCTTGTGGGAAACCTAGCAGAGGAAGGTGGAAAATGTTTAGCTAAATTTATCATCTCTGCCGTGTGAGGCGACATGCAGTCTTTGATGTTTACAGATCTCAGGATTTGTGATAATGAGATTTGTACTTGAATTTTCTTTTTCTTCCTTCACGCTCTGCTCTTTTTGTTCACTGTTGCCTCTCTTCCCAGCAGGGCACTGAAAAGAGCACATCATGCCTTCTTTACCTGTTACCTATTCTGTTCAATGAGTGACTGGCAGGAGCTATCTTGTGGGGTTGCTACTTTTTTCCTAGTAGTGCTGTTTTACAACTTGCCTCTTTTCCTTGCACTTTTTTGGTCTCATGTCGTTATGACGCACAACTGCAGCTTTTTTGGAGTAGTGGAGCTCAACAAGCATTTTGCCTGAAGCAAACTGCCAGAGACTAAAATCACGTTTTTGGAGTTCATAGGTACACGTGGTACTTAATAAGAATAAATTGTATTGCTTTTTAAAGAAATCCATCATGTTTCAAAGCTTAATCTATTTACCCACCTCTCTCCAAAACTGGAGACAGTCTCATTTTAGGTTTGTCAAGCAGTGTTAAAACAACCAAAACCAAACTCCTTTGTTGTCAGACATCTTGATTATTACAAAAGCCTTCATGAGTAGGGTACCAAATTAAAGGTCACATAACCTCCTCCCAAAGGCACATACGTGTGTGTGTGTGTGTGTGTGAGAGAGAGAGAGAGAGAGAGAGAGAGCATGTGTTTGTTGGGAGAGGCAGGAGAGTTAAACCTTAAATCAAAAATGAGCCACATCCAGACAGGGCAGTAAGAAGCTTTGTTGTATTTTTTCTGCTTTGAAAGTCAGACCAGCATTTGTCTGCAGAGAACTTGTATTCAGATCTTGAAAACTAAAAGTACTAAAAACGACTACTTAAAATAGTATTACTTTTGTTTCCTCTAGTTATGCCTTGAAATGTAACATCTTATTGACCTATTTGCTACTAATAGTTTTCATTTGTGACTTCAGAAACTTAATTTCTTTTAATGCACTATGACACAACTGCATTTAATTTTTTTTTAGTTAGTTTCTTTCACAATTTCTTCTATGTGGTTTTTAATTAGCTCTTTTTACTTTTCTAGGTGCCACTTTAGAGGAGATAAATCAGCACTGGGAGTGGCTGGAGCAAAACTTACTCCATACTTTGTCTGTTTTTGATAATAAAGAAGATATTGTTAGTTTTGTCAAAGGGAAAGTAAAGGTAAGAAAAGTTGTCTTGCTTTCATCTTTCCCCTGCCCACTAGTAAAGGAATTGGTAGAAATAACTCTTGATATTGTGGAACTATACCAGTCTACCAACTGTTTGTGTCCATATTAGCTTTTGCCCATCTAGACAATATTTTTGATAAAATGAGGTGACTTTGCAGCTATATTTATTCTGAACACAATTATATTTGTCATGAAATGTACATAGCTTTCTTTTTCAAGTCTTGATTTCCACATTCCATATCAGTGGTCTCATTAGTTTGTTGTCATCCCGCATTGGAAAGAGTTGGAAAGTATGTCTACACAATATTTTCATTTCTGATATCCACATACCTAGGTGCTTACTAGCTATGGTGAAAAATACCTGTGCCATCATGCCTCAGGAACCTACAGGAATAACAGCTGTGTAGTCTGTCATGGGCTGTAGTTGATTGGCAGTACATTACATTTACTTTTCAATTTAATACTTGCAGGGCCTGATTTTCAGAGGTGCTGAGTGCTTGCACCTGCAACTGAAGTCAGTGGGAGCTGCAGGTTCTTAATACCTGTGCAAATGAGGTGTATAGCTTCATCTTTCTCGTGTCCATTATACATTCTTTCCCATTCTGGCTTCACTCCAATTTTCTTTCCTGTAATAGATCATGATGTATTGTTTCTTGAGTTTTCTTCCATATCTATTTATTCTCTTTTCTTGATCCTACACTAAGCACACATTGTGTTCCTATAATTGTGTAGCTTCTCCCTTTTCTTTTCCTGCTTCCTTCCTCTCCGCTGATCTCTCTCTCTCTCTCTCTCTCTCTCTCTCTCTCTCTCTCATACTTTCCTAACACATCCCATCAGTCTCTCCTATCTACATCTATCCATGCACGCACTCTCTCACACTCATCCGCTTACTCAAGATTGAAAATTACACCAGACACATAATTGACAGATAACTGAACCTACACGCACAAGATCCAGGTGTAAGATGTGATGGGTCCCACTGTCCAGGGGCAGTGCTTATGTGAGAAGCCAGCCTTGATCTCACACACACACACACACTTGGAAGGGGGAGGTTGCTTGGATTTCTAAGAGGGTACTGCCTCTGCACCCATGCTCAAGGGGCTTTTAATTTGTAGAGGGTAGTCAACACAGAAATGCTCTGACACCCTAGATTACTAAGGCCCTACCAAATTCACGGCCATGAAAAACGCGTCACGGACCGTGAAATCTGGTCTCCTCCTGTGAAATCTGGTCTTTTGTGTGCTTTTACCCTATACTATGTAGATTTCACGGGGGAGACCAGTGTTTCTCAAATTGGGGGTCCTGACCCAAAAGCAGCGCCCTGCCAGCAGCAGTGCAGAAGCAAGGGTGACAATACCATACCAGGCCGTCCTTCCTTCTGCGCTGCTGCTGGCGGTGGCTCTTCCTTCAGAGCTGGGCTCCTGGCCAGCAGCTGCTGCTCTCCAGATAGCCAGTGCCACTGCCAGCAGCAGCAGTGAAGAAATAAGGGTAGCAGTACTGCAGCCAGTAGCTTAGCTAGGGGGGTGCAGGGGAAGCAGCCGCTTCTCCTCAGCACATTTTCCAAAAGTGGCGCCTTAGTTAGGGGTTACCATGGCGCCAGCGGGCGGGGCCCACGCTCAGCTCTGAAGCTTGACCTGCTGGGCCGGCGCTGGGCTCCTGCAGGCAAAGGGGGGCAGCACGGCCGGAGGAGTTATGGGGAGAGGGCGGCACGGCTGGAGGAGCCATGGGGGGAGAGGCAGCGCGGCCGGAGGAGCGAGGTGGGGCGCAGCATGGCAGCCCGCAGCGCGGCCAGAGGAGCCATGGGGGGAGAGGCAGCGCGGCCGGAGGAGCGAGGTGGGGCGCAGCATGGCAGCCCACAGCGCGGCCAGAGGAGCCATGGGGGGAGAG